TTGGGAAAGGAGGGTCGAATCCTATTATGTGGGGGGTAATTCGGCCGGCGATAACGCACTATTTTCCTGACTCGTATCAATATTTATTCCGCAGTGGTTCGTCGCCGACTTGCCACTCAGTGGGGAAATTGTTCGGATAATATTTGCCTTCCAGAAACAATCGGTCTTCCATCGACTGGAGCATCGGTGGAGCAACGTAAATACCTGTGCGAGAAAGAGGGCAAACGTTATTTATTCCACGTCTTGGGTCAAACGGGGTTTTCACCGTTCTCTCTTTTTCTCTCGATATTCGCGCCGTATGCGCACGAAGAGCTAATATGTGGTCAGTCACATCCAGTGGTTGATGTCCCGTCAGCATCGAATATGTAAACTGGATTCGTTGGGGAGGTCATCGGTATTCGATATTTAATGCTCGCTGAATTTCCGTCCGGACTAATTCCGATATAAGACGCGAGTATCGATAATGAATACGGAACCGTAAATCGCAATCCGACAAGCCGGTCGAGCTCCCAGAAAAATGACAACTTATCTTGACTTTATTTCGTTCCGATATCTCGATATAGATGCGTCCTTCGGTATTATCTAATCTGAAAGTACACCGTTCATACATCAACTTGATCGACTTCGATTACGATTTGCTTTCACCAGTTTGGACTGACTTAGGCCTAATCGTTTGCTCGGTCGACCGTCTCTTTTTCTTATTTTCTTTTTTTTTTCGGCTCTATATTGGTAGGGTGCCCGACGGTCGAAACAATAATTCAGATGGCTTTTTACCTTTTTTCCCGTTGCCCGGTCGTCGACGTAGCCCGTCGCGCCGCGACGTCGACGTATAAGCAACAGTCGGGAGTATGGCGGCCCTCAGTCCGCGGCCGGCACGCGACCGACGAGCATCTCTCCGTCATGGCGAGCAGGAAGTGCCTGTTAATTACCGGCCGACAGTGACTGTCGAGTAAACGTCATCGCGAGTTTGCAAATACGCACCGTAAATTGTTGGGACGAGGATCGTCCCGAATAGCCACAATTTGCGAGAGTTAAACAACGGTTTCGAAGTAACAGGTGTCATTTTCGCGGTTAATTCCATGTCGCTAAAATACCCGACCCTCTGTTTTAACGACGCCAAAGTGTAATGCCTTCTCAGTGCCGTTCCCCTTTCCAGTCACCCTCGATCTAATGGCGCACCGCTCCAAAAAGATAACGCCAGAGAACCGGGATTTATCACGAGAGGGAATCCTCTCGTAAACGGGCCGAGACTCCGACGCGATCCGTCTTACCGCAAGAAAGATGAGACCTAATGGACATTGATCGCTTCAATTGACTCGGAATATCAGTCGGAACAAAGCTGGCCACCAGGAGACGATACATTATTTACGGTGGTGGGGAATCGATTTCCCGGCATATTTGTGACTTCTAATTAATTATTTTCTCGAATCCGCGCGGACACGAAAGAAACGGATTAAGGTCTGTCGACGAATCGAAGAAAGAGGGTCGAAGATCCCGCGAGGATAGATCTTCGCCGGCGATCGAGGGGCCGAAAATCAGGATTTCGTGAATTTTCGTCCGATTTCGAGCTGCCCGGAAAGTTGAAGTCGCCGTAGAAGAGCGGCTTTCAAGACTTCCATCGTCGCTGATGAGGCGGTACTTCCTCCGAAAGTTTAACGCCTCATGAATGATGTATATCCATTCGACTTTGGCCATTGGAAATCTATTTACCTCGACGAGGAGAGAGCCGAGTAACAGTCAAGACTTCGACCAAAGTCGCATCCCGACTCGTCTCCCCGAGAACGAGGAGACCCTCGGAACGTCGTCGTTGCCTTGAAGGATAATCCGACAATCCGGGCGACTCGGGAAAAACATCCGTCTAGGAAAATGAGCATCTTTTAAAAAAAACGCGCGGATTGAAACGCAAACGCGAGGAACGCGTGCGCTCGATCGACGCGAAAATACAATTTTAGATGTCCTCTTTGCCATGCAAAAATGTGAATGCAATATGCAAACACGTTACGAGGAAAATGCATACAGGTGCGAGGGTCGGCTGAGCCGTCCGGAGAGCGGGCCCAGAGATCGATGCGATATAGGGCATCCCGAAGAAAATTTCCCCGTCGGTTTTCCGCATATACGAGGAGTCGCGGAATAATTCCTGATTACGCGCACCGTGCCCGAGCACGGCGCAAACGCGTTTACATACTCGAAGACACTTGAATACACGAAGATTTCGGAGAATGAGCGAGTACATCCTCGTGCCTCCCGAGGTTTCCTCGAAAATCGCTCGTCGAGACTCCGGAAGTATGAGGGTGTCGCTTCCTTTGACTTCCTTCCGAAGACACAGTGGATGCGTTTCTACTTTCGGCCGCACGAGGCCGCATCCCAAGCTCCTCTACGTCGTGCCGTAAGTTACCGAAGCTTCGATGTTTTGCATAATCGAATGCGTAATTACTGTGAAAAAGGAATCCTTATCTGGGTAATGATCACGGTATCGAAAAGACGATTTTATCTTATCACCCCACCGGGACGGTCGACTGTCGACTGTCGACGCGCTCGCCATTAACCGTGTCCATTTCCATTTCAATTTTCATGAAAGGCACGCGAGCCGATACAAAGAGGTTCGGCCTCTATCTCGTGTACGGTGGCGTAATTACGTGAGCGCTGGTTCGAGGGAATCGTATATCTCGGTACGTTTATCGGAGTGCACGTCGAGTCTCGGTGAATTATGCGCCGATGTGAAAGCGCATCGGCTAGGTGGAGGAGGATCTCTAGCCAATTAGGTCGTCAATGGCACAAAGGAAGGCTCGGTCGCAAGGAGTGATTAACGATTCCTACCTGGCTGGATATTTATTCGGAGACGCATCCTGACGTCAGGGTGCAACCGATAGCGAGTCGCATTTATCCGCCGTTTCGAACAGCCTCGAGTAGCGTTCGATTTAGTCGCAAACAAGCCGGAAGTAAGCGTGACGAGCCGGAACGAGTGCCTGGCAATTTCCGTTGCGAGTGCCTCTAACGATCCCGAGGAAAGTCTTCGATTTGACCGATTTCGTCAAATTTTTCGCCGGGGACGATGAAATCCTTCGGTCTTCGGTCATTCGGTACGTTTCAACGAAGTCTATCGAATCCGCCGGTTTTTCCGGTCAAACGAAACGCTCTCGTCGCGTCGCTCGACCGGTGTCGTTACGTAAAGCTATTGCATTTCGCCGATGCAGTCGGTTATAATGGTGGAACCCTTTGTTCGTTGCTGGCGTCCGTCGGGGACGCCCGCAATAAACGGTGATTGACGGAAAGTTCGATCGAAATTCAAAGTCGTTCGATTCCCATTTTTTTTTTTCGGACGTTTCCTGGATCGGTTGGACCCTCAGGAAATTGCGAATTCTCGAAGAATCCGTGGAATCCGAAGAAGGGGAGGATTTAATAGGGAGAAGTAGATCCACCCTACGTGCCGGGTGCCTCTCGAGAGACGCTCCTTCTCCTATCCATAAATTCATAGCAAGCGTTTACGTGTATCTGCTCCATGCATTTTCAGCAGTCCCGACCTTGATTAAGTCGCGCTTTTATGGCTATTACGCAATTTCCCATCGCGTCTCGGGAATAGGGGTCTTCCGGGAAATCGGGTTTCCGTGGGAGACAAGAATCTTGCCGCTTAATACCGATCGATACAAATGTATTCACCCGTCGAAGCCTTAACCGGGGGATTCGCGCCGGAATAACGATCCAACGAGATACGCGTTTTCGGTCCACCCTTCGACCTCTCGGTTTCGATTCGGTTGTATTCGATTCTTTGTCCCCTTGCTCTTACACCCCGTCGATGCCGCCTCTAATGGGACCTTTTTCGGTCACGCTACCTCGTTATCCCGATTGCCCGTGACCTCCGGGATGAAGTGCAATTTGTTGCACCGCATCCACCGATGCATTGATAATTGCTCCCGAGCCCTCCTCGCCCACGCTGAGCCTCCAATGAACCGTTAAATAGCGAACGACGAGGCTGCCGAATTAATTGTTCCTTACATAATGCCGCGTAGCCAAGTTCCTTGTTGCCTCCGGAAATAGCATAATTTACTCGCCCCGTCGTCGCGTCGGTACTCCAGGAAGAGAGTCGCAGAAGGATTTTCATAATTAACGTCGAAATTCGGTAAACGTCGGAGGCGCGATATAGAAAAGTCGCGGGGCGAGAAAAAATGTACGAGTGGGTGGATTGGCACACGCGGACTGTAACTTTTGAAGTCTCGAAAAATGTTTACGGGACACAAACGCCCTGAAAGAAAACCCGGTGGGGTTGCATTCCGCTAAAGTGCGTCTGAAGCTGAAATAGCTGAGCCGCGGCACCGCGGCAGTTCCGTAGGCCGTTGGAAAAGCAGACCGCCCGCGGTCGGTTCTTAGAAATTGTTTACATAATCCGAAAGCAAAGTAGAAATACCCATAGGAGAGTACAGCTAGTATTTATAACCCACGACGTTAGGGGAACACGCGAGTTCCATATATCCGGATGGGAAGCCGGAATCCCGGTGGCTTTCCTCCGAGGTTCACTTTTTACGGAATCCTATTTATTGGACCACCTATCCAGCCGAGAGTCCACCTACATCTAGACTTACGGCTACTTTCGCACCGTAGTCTCAGTCGGAAGAAGACGGCGGGATTACGTCCGAATCTACGGTCGTCGGAATGGCGACGCTCTCCGAACGATTAGCTACCTTATAAGCGGCCTCGCGAAAGCCGAAATTTTATTTAAATTTATTCCATCTCGAGGTGCACCCGACGGCGCTTTCGGCTCTTCCCGTGCAGAGCCACCCTCGCTACCCACTCTCATAACTTTTTTTACGACGGACGTCGCGTCTTATGAGCCTTGGTATAAAGTCCATTACGCGGCATTCCTCTTCGAGATGAGTTGCCCCGAATTTCTGGCTCCTCGTCGGGACATCCCGAGTTCGCGACCACCCTTTGGACCTCGTTCCTCGTGTCCGAATATCTCTCCTTTCCGACTGGAAAGGGAATAAGAAATGTTATTCCGTTCGCAGCTTCGACGCCGAGAATGGCTCCTCGACGCTGGACGGCGGCGCGGGCGGAGGCGGCGGGGCGTCGCCGAGCGCGGGGCTGGTCCTCCAGGCGCTGCCCCAGAGGAGGGAAAGCTTCCTCTACAGAAGCGACAGCGACTTCGAGATGTCACCGAAGTCGACGTCGCGGAACAGCTCCATCGCCAGCGAGAGGTAAGCGCGATCACCCCGTAACTCCATCTTCCGCCGAGCGCGAACTCGCCTCGGTGGTTTTCGTTCCTTCGAGCCTTGCCGAGCGACGCTCGAGCCGACTGCACTTAAAAAAAAAAAAAATACAACATTTAAGGTATTACGAAAAAGTGTCATCTATGCATATCAAAAAGCCAAAATAAAACTTTTCTTCAAATTGGAAGCACCGAATAATTTGAAATCGTGACATCATAATCACGTGTTAAAGTTTCACGTTATTCGGCGCACCCAGTTTGTAGAAAAATTGTATTAACATTTTAATATACATAGAATGACCCTTTCGCGTCGTTTTAAATAAACAAAGGGAAATCCTCCTAATCCAGATGTCATGGTCAAGCTCTGGCGTCGTTCGCTTCGGCGAAATTCGGGTCCCGAAAAAAATAAAGGCTGTCTTCTCTCGGGGAAAAATCGTTACCGAGTTCCTACTCTTGACTTTCTCGTTTATTCCATGTCGGTACTGTGGCTTAGCTGCGTTCGATGTTATCAAAGATACAAGATCGTAACGGAGAGGAGGCGCACTCTTGGTTTTTCACTTGGCTTCGCACTGGCGCAGCCACGCGTGCACGATTGCCTTCGTTTATGTGGCAAAAGGCCGAGACGCGTTCTTTTAATTGCCTTGGTCCGCGACGCCTAGCGAGCCGCCGTTTTCTGCCGGCAAACAGCTACTTGCTTTAAGATGCACTCGTGAAAACCGCATTTTTTTTATTTCGACGCTTCACCCATCGCGGAGGTAAGGATAACGTCGAGATTACCGGGACGCGAGGGGCTTTCGCTTTCGTTGGTAAATTGTCTCGAGGTGAGCAGCCATCCGACGGTCGGTAAAGGAGAACGCGATGCGGTTCAGCCGCGGTGGCTCCGCCAAATCGATAGACCAGTCGCGAGCAACTCGACGTTTCAGAGATGGAACGCCTTTGTCTACCTCCGACGATAATGCAGGGTCGATGAAATATCGCTCGACCGTCCATTTTTACGTATTAAAAAAAAATCAAAGCGCTGACACTCTCGGGGAGATATTTCGTACGGGCACTTTCGAGCCAAAAAAGTGATCGGATTTTTTTACAACTTGTAGATTCACAAGGTGGAGTATGTCGAATTCGGATAGCTGCTCGTTTGACTCGAAAAATGCTGAAATTTCAATCGATGGGTTTTTAGAGTTTGAACGGCTTGTTCGATGGACTCGATCAAATGCCTCCCCGGTATCGCGTGACCGTCTCTCATTGTCGATGCATCGGGATATCGACCGAGGTGGTATCGCCGCGTTCCGACGACGCGAGCACGCGTGACGTCACCGGTGACCTAGGAACGTCATCGTCGTTCCAGGTTAACCTTGATAACTCGATTCGAGCGCCTCCGAACCGACCGAAACGCGCCTGGCCGGCTGCCACGTCGCGATTCCGCTTGAACCGCGTTGACGTTTTGCGACCTTACGTAAACGATACCCTCAAAAGTGCCAACCTCGCGGTATCGCGAGGCGAGGCGATCACGGAACTCGTGAAATTCGCCACTAAATCGTCTACTCTCGAATTCTCACGGGGATTCTTTTTTGTTCGTTTAACGCGGTTGACATTAAAAAAAAGATCGATAATTTATTTGAAAGAAAATGGCGCCTCGCTAGTCAAAAACAAATCGCTACCGCCTGTCGAGGCAAGTCACGTTGAAGTTATTTCAAAATAAATGCAACGTTACGCCCCCGTATCCCCGAGTTCCGTTCGCGTCCACAGCGTGCACCGATCGATCGTTGTAAATATTCCACAAAGACCCAGTCAACTTGTCACCTAACTTCGAGTTTTCGGTATCGCCCCACCGTGTCAAGTCTGGCCATTCCTTCCTTCCGGTCTCCCCTTGGCGAGTCACCCCGGGAAGTAGAAATCGTAGTCCGACCCAAAAACCGATCCTGACTCTATCTCTGGCTTTTCGCGGTTTCCTCTTTAATTCTCCGATAATTGTAGCGGGTGCGGGGTGCGATGATGTGACGGATATGATCCTTGGGTTGCAGGTTCAAAGAGACAGAGCCGCCTGTCGAGCGAGCGTATGTACTCCACCGTATTATATATTCTTCTTTGATTTTTCACCACACTCTCTAGACCCTACGCTCGTTCGGAAAGAAGAGCCGACCGAACAACCATTGCCCATCTTAAACGTTCCAACCCATCGCTAACGAGGGCCGCTTTAGTTGAACCCCCGATAAATGCTTTCCGCTGATATCTTTCCCGATAGCCCATTGCATGTTGCGCGGAGTGACGTTACTTTCCCCCAGAGCCAGAGATTTCCGATTTACTTATTCGAGAGACCGGCCCCCCCGGAAAGTGTTCCAAAGTACGCTTAAGTATCGCCGACTATTACCTCGATAAGGGAAATTTACGGGAAACCCGCGGTATGATCAAATTTTGGTCCACAAGGAACCATCCAAGGTGGATGAAATTTACTCGCTAACTCGCAGCCATTAAGCCAGGGAAACCATAACTACTCGACGGTATCACGGTCGAGCCCGTGAAAGCTCCAAGTAGATTCGGACGATACTAAATGGGTGATCTCTGGCGGCCATTAGGGCTTTCGAGCACGCCACGTTTTGTAGCACTGCTTCCGACCCGATCCACAAGCTTGGTTTACCTCGACGCTGCAGTATGCATTTTTCAAAGCGGTTGTAATTGCACCGAGCCCTTGCCTCTTTTAGAAACGTCCTTTCAGAATTAAAGCGGAAACTTTCGCCCTTTCTCACCTCTCCTGGACGTACGATCCACGGAGATAAGAGGCGTACCCCAATTTCTTCTTTTCTTTATTTTTCGCGGTTTCGCGAATCCCTGAAAGGATGTTGCTTATTTCCGCCTCTCTTGCACAGCCCGGGGCTCAGCGAGCGTTTTATGTATTATTTGCCTAATGATGGGTTTTTTCTGAAGAGTCGCACGCCGCGAATCTTACCTTACGCTTTGGCGGCTTGAAACTGTGCCTTAGCTGCGTAGACGACACCGTCATTGTAGGAAAACGAGATAGGACGACGACATAGAGAGTACGATACGATAACGCGAGATCTCGAATGAACGGCTATATTAGTTAAGTAATGCACGTCGAAATAGAGGAACCTTGTCGAATAAAGATTAATTGTTATTTTCAGGATATTTACCGATCAATACAGGTAAGTCGACCGATCACGTAATTCCACGTGGGAAGCGAGGTGTCGATACGAGGACGGCCGGGAAAACTGGACAACTGGTTTGAGAAATCTTTGATTAATACTCGGTCGCTGCTTTTTTTGGTGTCGGCTTACCGCTTCGACCGGCTCGATTTGGCCGAATTACCTGCGCCCAGTCGCGCCCATTCCGCGTGTTTCCGCCCGCGCTAAACGCGGACCTCGAGGAGAGGAACGGGGACTCGTTGCCCCCCCGGAACGTGTCACCTCGAAAAGAGGGTTTAGCCTCGACAATAGCTTCGCGATCAAAGCCGACGATCCCGCTCTTTGGTAGGGAATTTCAGCTCCCTTGTGTAGCGACAAAAGACAGAGAGACCTCGGTAGCTCGTTGCTCAAATCCGCTTATGGCTCAAAGTAAATTTGCGGAGCACCGAAAATTGCTTCCTCCGAGGGTGAGGAGGGCGCGGTCCGCCATGCCATGGGGAGGGACATTTGTCGTTCGAATTTTCCCGAAATTTTCAAAATTCCCCGTCGTTACGTTCTCGACTCGCGATTTTAATTCGAGATTACGTCCTCGTGACGCCGTGGAACGGTCAGCGGGTCTCTACTCCCGCTCTCGCTCGTAATGGAATCGACGAGCTGGCGGGTGGGCGGGTCGACACGGCTCCGAGTTTTTATCTAAAGTGGAGCAAACAGTGCGTGCCTGTGTCGAACGAGTGCATTAACTCGTTCACGGTGAGAACTCCCTCTGCCGCGGTTACACGCGGCTCTAAACCGACAGTCTCTCCATCCAGAAGCGATCGCGCTTCCGAGCCTTGACTTCTCGAAATCTCGGCCGTCTTGGCGGTCGACTCGAGCTCGCGAGACGAACCGAAACTCGCCGAATAATTCCGGGTGAACGATCTCTCGGGATAGAGCGCGTTACGTAACGAGGATCGTTTGGCGACGAGATGCAAATCGGGGAGGCTCGGACCGGGAAAAGGCGAATGAGACGTCGGTCGTTGGCAAGATCACCGCGCGTCCGAACGGCGCAATAAAAAGTTACCGCGGCTCCTCGTGGCTACGAGCAAACGTTAACGAGCCGTCCGAGCCCGAACGATCTCGAGCCCGTGTAAGGTGCTCCGGATAGCCGCGTAATCGGTAATTATCTCTTAGAGAGCCTGTACGCGTCGCGGCTCCGGCGGACCTTATCGCCGTCGTCGTCGTTAGCTCCGCCGTTTCGGAGCACGGTCGAGATAGGAGAGGATTCCGCGCCCACGCGGGCGAGCCAAAGAAGGCCTTTGATTCGGTCGTAATACCTCTCCGGATCTGCCTATTTAATCGCGGGTCCGTCCATCCGCTCGACTTCCCACGCAGAGACCGCGACCGAGCGCGAATCCGCTCCCTCTCCCGCGACGCGACGTTTCATCTTCCCGGTATCCTCTCGCGACATCGAATCGCTCGCGATCTCCCGCGCATCTCCCTCGATCCCTGTAAATCCCCTCCTCTCTACTTCGCGATTACCGTCCACTTAGCGGTCCACTCCGGCGGCATCCGACGCCGCCGGTGTCGCTCCCGCGCCGAGTTCCCTTTATTTCGCGATTTTTCTCCCGCGGCCTTTGTCTCTTTATTCCACCTCTGTAATTTATGCACGCGTTCGCGTTCTCCTTTCACGGCGCGTCCCGTTTCAGTGGGCTCTCGGTGCCGCTTTATCCCGAGTATCCGCGAGCTGGCCGTTCCCGTTCCGCTCGCGTTCCTCTTTCCGACTCGCCTCCGGAAACTCGAGTTCGGCGCCGATATTCCGAGTCCCTTTCGCTTTCTCTCGGGGAACTCTACGAACGTCGCCATCTCGCCTCGAGTTCGCGTCCGAAGTCGACGCGACCCTACTCGTCCCACGCTCCGTCCCACTCCGACGTTGCCCAGGTAGTCCCTCTCCCCCTTGAGCCTCTCGGCGCCGGCGCGCAGTCGCCCCGCGCAAATCGCGCGGCTCCCTCCCACCTCTCGGCACCCTCGAGAATCCCCGCGAAAGCAGAACGCCCTGGCCAGTCCGTGACCGCGGTAAACACACGTCGCGCCGTGACACCGCGGACGTCCCTCGTCGTCGCCCACTTCGCCCCCGCCCGGAAGGAGTCCCCTTGTCGGTGAGGTGCACTTCCCGAGCGCGAGCCATGGGGAGGGGGTCGACGCAAACCGTGACGGATTCCCCCGGAGGGACCATCCAAGTGACAAAATGGAGATATATCTCTCGTTTCGCGGGGCTCGTCGAAATTTCCGGGGGATAGTGGGAAGGGCGAGGAGGTTGACGAATCGCGAAAATTGACCCCCTCCATGACCGATCACCGGTTTAGGGAGTTTGATGAACGTTATGGTGGATATTTGATGGCGTCTCGTGGTATATCTCCCGGATCTTCCCGAATAGGCCCCGGGATGCCGAACGTCCCGGCACTCCATGTCAGAAAAAAAATAGCGGGAAAGCCTCCTGACGACGCCGGTCGGATTGTCGAGATAGTCGCCATGTTGAATTCGGTAAAATCAGGAGAAGGGGAGAGGAAATTTTTAGGGGGACGCGGTACGGTCGGTTCTTACGGTGGCGTGAATCGTCGCCGTGGCCGGTTTTACCGGCAAGGTTCAGCGATCCGATGTAATCGGTGAGCGGCTTAACGACGGATAAGCGATCCGAAAGGTGCCACGAGTCGCACGTGAACGCGTCTTTACGATTACCTCGTACCGAGTTACGAAACGCGATATCGATAACGGCTTATCGGTGGGTCTTATTTATCCGACCGGTGAATCGACAGATATTTATAAGTCGGAGAAATCCGTCTAAGCGGTAAAGGAGACGGGGGTGAAGGCGTTTTCGAGTTTGGATTTTTTCTTTTTTTCTTTCCGGTAAAATCGGGACTCGCCAATTCTCGCAACTTCTCGATACGTTGGCCCAGGTCAGGGCGAGTGGAGACGTCACGTTTTACGGGGCCGTTCAATTACATCGGACGGACGTGTTGTTATTATTGCGCCACTTTAAATAGACTTTGAGCCTTCCTCCGTTTCTCTTTTTATATCCCTCGAACGGCTCGAGAAGTCGCGTTTACCGAAGACTAACGGAGGCCGGTAACGATCCGCGCTTCGGGGGATTTTCCCCGGGGCTATTAACGCGCGTAACCGTTGATGGAATGGTGGGGAATAATGGCGACGTATCGGCAAGTTGGCTCGATCGAGCGATTCAGGTATCGTTTACGGCCCTCGAGAAAACGCATCTGCCGAATCGCTAATAAACGTGGCATCCGCAGAACTCGTAAAACCGTCCGTTCGAGTGACGGCTCGTCATCGTCGGCGTTGGCGCGCTTCCGAAGGAACCATTAATCGCGATCAAAGGGGAACGCGAGTTCTCGATAACCGGCGGCGATATTTTCACTGTAGGGAGGCTGATTCGTAATTCGATCGCGATATCGGGGAAACGCTCGTCTCCGTTGGTATTTTCTGGTTCGTTGCGACGTTCCTGCCGAACCGCGCGATATAACGGATGCGGTAATTAAACGTACTCGCAATGGTACTTCTAGGTTCTCAGGTCGGATTTCCGTCGGTTTTCTAAACATAGGGCGGTACTCGAAGAGGCACCGTAATTGCAACTTCGGCACTACGTGTGCGAACCGAAAGGTTATTATTAGAGCGATGGCCATTTCGATCGACCCTGCCGTCGTGACGTGCACCTGTAGGTAACCTGGCAATGAGGATCACCCTTAAAAATAGACAGTACCGGACAGATTCGAATCCCGATAGGCTAAGTTGAAACGAACCATGGAGGGACAACTTTTGCAACGCTCGGTAGCGCGAAACGCTACGGTTTTAAATAATTCATGGAAAGCAGAAATAGTAGCGTGACGCCGGCGTAAAGTCTCTTTCGCGTCGTTTCATGACGGCGCGACGGATTTTCCTTTCCACGGCTATGGAAATGGAAACCGTGAGATGTGCACCGAGAAAAAGAAACGTCATTGAATCACGGAAATATTTTGTTAATCGAATGAATTACGCGAGTAAACTCAATGGGTCAATGAATTTTTTTTTCTGGGTGTATCGACGTCCCTCCCGACCGGAAATGTCGGTGCAACGATTCCGCAAAAAACTCGCGAGTGACGAACCGAATAGGCCTTATTCTTGATCGCCGCGGTAAACAGCGGAAGTAAATACCGCGACGACGTTCATAAATGATCGCCTTTATTGTCGCAACGATCTAAGCCAAAAGTAAATGGCGCGCGAGCGGATAACGATTATTTTCTAAAATTACTCGAGACTAGTCCAACTCGCTCACCGGATGATCGTCTCGCCGATCTACGCTGTTTTCCGTCGATAAAACGAATTACGCAAACGTCGAGGTTAACTCTGCGTGCACGCAGTGGGCGGATTTATCGTTTCTCTCGATGCGCCATCTCGTTGATTTAGCTCGGTGTAAACGGTCCTCCTATACGCCACAGGCAACGCCGGAGGATGTAGTCTCCGCTAGTGGACGCGGTAGATCCGACTATTTTATTTTTCTTTCCTTTTTCGAAATCCCGTGAATTATTCATCGAGACCCTTCGCGAGCATCGCGGCGCGCGACCCGTCGACGCCGAGCGTTGCATTGATCTAACCGAAGACGTAACATTTTGAGACGTCCCTTTATGTCGTCGTTTCCAGCTTTAATCGACCGTCAAAGAAGCCGCGCGTAGAAGACTCTTGAACACAGCCTTGTACTTGTTAAAATTTGGGAGCGATCGGATGGTCGATGAACAGTGGAACACCTTCTCGCTCCCGCGAATTAACGATTACCGTGCAATACCGTCTCTTAAGTTCGGCCAGCGAAGGTACGCGACGTGTACGGCCAAAACCACACCGAGGAGTCTAGTCTAATTAGTTTCATTCGGATAAGTTGGTACTTGTCCCAGTTACGGATGGCGGCGGGAGGTCGCGATACGATTCGCTTCATTGTACGTGCTCGGGCAAAGAAACGTTAGTGCCGCTAGTGCGACAATTAAGCCAATAACGAGGCAGACTCCGACGACCCGGGCGACGTTATTAGCGGAAGCGACTGAACGAGTTTGTCCGATTCGCGGGTCGCCATTTCGGTTTCGGAGCGACAACCCTCTCCCCTTGTCACATTGGATCGGTCCATCCGCGGAGATCACCCCGTGACTTTGGCCCCCTCCCGTTATCCGGACGCGTCGAATCGCCGTTCGCGGTCCTTCGGCGAGGCGATGCGCTCAAAGCGCGGCTCCTTTCAGGGTTCGGGGCTCGCCGAGTGAACGCGCGTCGCGGCCGGATGAAAAGGCGGGAACGGCGGAAAGAGGAAAGAGAAAAGAGCGCCTTGACCCCCATCGCCGGCTCCGAGAGGAACCATCGATCGTCGAGGCCGAGCCCGCGGCGCGTCGTTGGGCTCGCATCGGACGAAATCGAGCCGTACCTTGACCTCGGGGATCGATCGCGCGGCCAGTGGCTTCCGATCCGTTCTCGGGCCCCGAGTCGATCGATCGCCGATCGGGTCCTAGACGGGATCGAAGGCTCGAGCGCCGGACCGACCGCTCCGGGAAGATCCTCGGGCAGGGCGGCGAGATCCCTCGGGATCATCTTCCGGAGGCGCCATGCCGGCCTTGCCGGGATGCCGAGTCACTTGACGGGGTCGAGATCGGTCGCGGCGTCAGGATGTCGGGCTCGAGCGGCGGCCTCGTCGAGCTCGCCGCGACCTCCGGCTTGAAGAGGTGCGGGGGCGGCATGAGCTCCCCCTCTTTGGGGGCCGGGGTCAGTGGGGGCGGCCTCCCCAGGACGCTCTCCACCTCGGCGCTGAGGCTGCGGCCGCCCAGACGGGCCCTCTTCTGGGAGCAGTGCTTCGAGACGCCCTCCAGGCGGGACTTGTAAGTGCGGAACCCTCGTTGGATCCCTCCTTGGATCCCAGGGTTGATAGAAATCATGATTAATTTTGAAGAATTATAAAAATCGATTATTTTCTTAATTCACGATTTTTTGGCGTACCTTAACGAGAGCGGTACATTTAGTCCGGCATCCGCCGTCGATCAGCCCTCCGGTCACGATCCTTCGGGGGTTCCTACCGCGGCGATCTTCGGGAATCGTTTTTCCGGGTGCCCGAAAATTCATAACGAGTCCGAATTCCTAAGTACAGAGCACCAATTGGGGCGATTCAAAGAACGGAGCTATATTTCGTTGAAACGTGGTCTCGATTTGTGACCCAGTTGGGAGTTCCGCCCTAGAGGAAAGAACCGGCGAGAGAACCTTCATATTGATCGAGGAAACTAACCATTACGCTAACCACTTGCTACCGGGTCGGATGTAAAGGACGGGATCGAGAGAGCGAGACTTCCAAAGCTCGAGTCGTGATTCGCGTCGTCAAACGTCATTCTCGGGGCATCCTGCACGTTGCGCCCATTGAAATGTCCCGACGAGCTCCCGGGACCTCGACGAGGAACTCGGTTATTTTTCATCCCTCCCTCGTTCGTGCCTTCGGGGAAATTCGAAGAATCGAGAATCCTGCGAATGCGAGAATATCCGTGATAACGCCCCAAGAGAGAAACATTTTCTTCTTTCAAAGAAATTATTTCTTTGGAATAATTTCGCTATTAAGGTGTTATGAAAGTGTCATATATACATATAGAAATATTTTTTCTTCGATGGAATTTTTTTCTCGGTGCATGAAAATGACCAAATGATTAAAAATCGCTCCCGTATGTACCTCCGTCAACGTTTTATCTTTAAAACGAACGCTCGTCGAATTCGATCGATCGTGAAATACGTCCGAAATCGTCCCGGGGAGACGCTGCAAAATCGTTGAAGCGGAGAACGCCCTTCATTCCGCCGGGTGTACCGAGCCCCGATGATTCGTCGCTTTCGCGTGAAACGGATTTTCTTTCCATCGATCCGCGGACCGCGCTGGCCATCCCTGCGTTGTTTGCATTCCGAATGCGCCCCTGGATGCCGAGGCAAACGTTGACCAGCTCCGCGCGTTGCCCTGGTCGATTCATGGAGGCATATGATAAAATCGGATGACTCGTATCGAGCTCTATCCTTTGGCAGAAGCTGGGAATTCTCCGCAATTGTCGAGAGCTAAATTCACTCGCGGCAAGGTTCAAGGTATCCGCGGTAAGGCGGGTCTTCGCGGGTCCGTTTTATTCCAATATCACCACGGCGACTGCCTATTCGGAGCGATCGAAAATGGCAAAAACGAGCCGCCGAAGGAAATTGAATTCCCGTCGACGAGCGATTTCAAAGGAGATTTTAAAGTCCGAGCGAAGGCATAGCTATACCCTCGGCGGCGTCAACGTTGAAAGGGCGAAGTCGCGGATACGAAGTGGTTTCGAAGTTGAAGCGGTATATTGCCGAAGGCTGGGGTAACTCTCGGGTGAATTAAATATGCCGGTGGAAAGCGGTACGGCTAGATTTTGCGCGGCAATTAAAATCTGGACGGTGAATTAATGCAAAATGAAACTCCTCCCTCGTAACCCGATTGTATGGAGATCGGGCTGCAATCGGATCTCCATCTCGAAAGGGAACGAATTAGAGATCTTGGACTTTCGCATACCCCTCCGACGCGGGTCTTAAAATTTGCGGAAACTCGTATCGATACGTCGCTATCCCATTTTGCATGCAATGAGGCAACTTTGCAATTAGAGAAAATCATGGAGTTACGCGGACTTGGGTCCGCGACGCGTCGTCGGGGTTATTTACCTTTATTTTCCGATTTCAGTCATGGAGAGGACCTCATCGTCACACCCTTCGCGCAAATACTTGCTTCTCTACAGCTGGTCCGAAATAACTTCCAGGCTCTCACCAATGTACCGGCGAACAAGTAAGTCTTCGTCGACTAAAATATTTCATAGAATTAACGAAACGATATAATCAAAATCAGTTGATCGAAACAAACGATTTTTAGTCAAGTAAACTAAAATTCGGTTCGCCGAACCGAAACGCTTTCTAAAATTAACCAAATACGGTAAATCAGACGATTATGTTAAACGAAGGAAATTTTTTTTCCTACGTTTACGGCCGTTGACGTTTTCGTAATCAATTCTGGTACGCTGCGGTGTATGCGGACACGCGTTGCGACGACAACGCGATCACGCAACGTAATTACATCGCGACAGCTTAATGCGGAGATTCGCCCATACCGGTGATGTACCGGATGTACCTATATTCCCGTCGCATTGTAAGGTTTTTTTTATTTTATTTTCTAAGGAGAATTCGTGTGAATTTTTTATAAAACGTTTCTGAGGGTGTTTACAGGAAAACGTGCGGTATGAGTGATAAGTAATCCCGTAATTTGCAGGTCGCGAAGGAGTAGCGGCGCCCAGGGAAGCAGTACGCCACAGCCGCGGATCCTGGCTCCTGGAGGTGAGCATCAAATTTTATCAACGATTGGCCCCTCGTCCCTTGGCCACTGTCACGTTCCCTGAAAGTTGAAGAGCCCTCAAATGTTGAATTGGACATTCCTAACGTGTCTCGAAATTTGTGATTTGCAGAGGAAACCTACGTCAAACTGGCCGTGGACACGATGGAAGAGCTAGATTGGTGCTTGGACCAATTGGAGACCATTCAGACGCATCGATCGGTGTCCGACATGGCGTCCCTCAAGGTAACGTACTCGCAATTGTCCACTTAACTGCGAATCGATATCAATTGTCACCTGCCAAACGGGCCCTCGGTGTCGGAAACGCGTCGGAAATCTGGTTGACGGAAACCCGCCGGAAGTGCCCCGTCGGACTTTGCGTCGAAATTGCATCGTTACCCGTCAACGTCCGCGAATTCGAGGCGACCGCGGAAATTGCGCAATCTCGGTTAAACGGAAGCCTCCCATTGGTAGCTTCTGATCCTCCGGTTAATAGGCTTACCTTCTTCGAGAGGTCGATCCGATCGCGATCCGACGGCGTTCCGAGGACCTCGTTATTACGGATTTCTCGTCCGGCGACGAGCCCTGCGAGGAATGAAGTCGGTCGACGGTGTATTACCGTGATTGCCCTTAGAAGTCGAGGAAGGAAGCTCCCTCGACGGAAAGCTGATAACGCGGAAAGCATCCGACGCGAATGGCGATCGCTCGACAAAAATCAAAGATTATCGAGGAGCACCGGGAGACCTCGTTTGCATACCTCGCGCTGAATGCCTCAAAATTACCGTATTAGGACACGCTTCGATAACGACACAATTTCTACCGATAACTACGGGTCGACGTCGAGTCTACGAAGGGAATTTCAGGGAGATAACCGGGATTGAAATACGCGAAACGGATGCAGATCACGTCCCTTGGCCGAGCTCGACGGGAAGCAATTTCCCAAAGACCGTCCGCCCCGCTTTTTCTCTTTTTTCTCTCAGCGATCGAGTAATTCTAATTTCCATGAGAAGAAATCGGAACGGCGGGGCCGGGTTGTGATCGAAGTTCCCGAAGTGTCGCCTCCCGGGAACGAGTTTCGCGATGGGAGATCTCATAAAATATTTAATTGGGGGCTGCAGTTTGCCCAGTGCATACAGAACCGCGGAACGGAAACGTTTCTTTTTCGGTCACGGCCAGTTTGTATCAACACCGATAGTCTCGAGAGAGGAGCTGCAGGGTACCGCGCAAACGTCTTGCGTAAACGCTTTTGGTGCTTCCCGTGTAATGTCATTATCATCGAGACGATGACGCAGGCAGCGGATGTTTAAACATTCGAGTTGACCGAAATGGACCGTTCTTCGGTCCTCGGTGGCATTTTGAAAGTGCTTCGCGTACTCGGTACTCAAAAGCGACCGATGAATTTCATTCGCTGGAAATGCGCTGACGTTTCGGAGCGATACGTGTAGCGTTTATTAATGCGTTGGACATCTGACGTAAATCGCGTAGCGCAAGACGGATTCCACGAGGAAATGACGGACGTCACCCCCGACGATGCATCACGCTTTCTCGTTCGGTCGATCCGACGTACGTCACGTCCTTTGCGACAAACTCTAATTGTCCGACAATATTGGACTCGGAAATTAAAAATTCAAGTTAAAATAAATTCGAAAATCTAGTAACTGCCCTCGCGTGGCAACTTTGGGAAATTCCTTAAGATCCGTGTCAGATAATTTTTATAATTCTTTAAGGAGGAACCGGGAGAATTTCTCCGCGAAGCTTAAGCGGCTCCGTTGTGTTACGACGAAATGGCGCGTCTCAAATTGCTCCCCGTTTGCGAATTCTTTTTCTCCGCAGCTGATAGCAGCTCTCTAGAATGCGCATCGGAGTGCGGCATATCTCGAACGTTGAGTATAACTCGTGGTTTTAAAAACCATTTTTTCATCTTTTATATAAAATGGAATTTCATGGGGGTGAAGACCTTCCTTAGGGTTTCCATACTCACATAGTGAAATTTCAAACAATCCAATATGTACGGTTCGGAGAAAAGTTTCATATGCGATCGATCCGGTTTCATGAACGATGTTCTTTTTCAGGGTAAATGCGAAAGCTACCTTGACCCATTTCCGTACATTCCGTAATTCCGTTGGAATTCGAGCTCGTTATTAGCTTTTCATTATCGCGTCGCCTCGGCTCCCGTGACGTCGGCGATATAATTCGACGAGGGTGGCGGTCGAAATCAAAGGCGAGCTCGAGGGGAGGCTGCGACGAATGAACCGTCTTCCCGGGAAAACGTGCAATGCCGAGAGGATTATTAGCGAGGACGCGCGAAACGAGGTCGAAGTCCAAAGTAAAGGAAATTCTTCGGAGCGGCCCTATAATGCGTGCACGCGCTATCTCGGGCTCTAGGAGTTTCCGGGAGATTTATGGAGCAGGGCCCGAGAACGCGCGATACCGCGAGGAGGACGGCAGGCGGAAGTAATCTCGAGAAGGGAATCGAGACGCGACGCCCTCTCTCGAGGAAGGGCGTCGCCAATTTTTGCTCTCGGATCCGGAGTTCCTTTCGTACCGGAAAAGGGTACACGGAGGGCTTACGTCCTCCGCATAGTAATTTCGGAGGTTTCCGACCTCGAGACCTCTTCTTCCGGGTTGGTCGTTCCTCTCTACGATTTTTCTCTCCGTTCTCCAGGGTCCTTCTCGCGAGTTCTTCTCTTCGGTTCCACGATTCCTATCATAGGAGTCCGGATCGAACCGGATCATGGCTATCGATAAGCCACGGCAAATAAACTCGTATTGCTTCCGAAACGTTATCGGCGCTTCAACCCGATCGTATCTGCACCTTGGAACGGTCCGGTAGGCAGCACCCCCGTGCCGGCAAATTGAATCGCTAAAGGACCATTGGACTCGTACTTTACAAGGGAATTTCCGCTCGTAAAACACTACTCTTCCTATAATACGCGCCGGGGTCAAGGGCGGAATTTCAATATCCATAAACTCATTCGCGTCGTTCCGGGAATACTTATGCAGATCCCCCACGGTGCGGTTCGGCATTGCAAGCTGCGCCGATCGAACGGTATAAGCGGGAATTGGGCTCGATCGGCGCGTTGTTTGACGTATCGAACCGAATTTCCGGTAAATTCGCTTTGACTTGGAATAAAGGGAACCTACGAGAAATGCGAAGCAAAGCTCAACGCGGCGTTCACGGGGGAAGAGGCAAGAGTCGCGGCTTTGCCAATTTTTATGTCTTTTGGTTTTGAACGTTATTTGCGAGCCTCTTATCTTATCGCTTCAACTTATCAAACATTACCTCAAATTTCTCCCACCACTCGGGCCGCGGCGTTCCACGGCCGCTTATCGGACCGCTCACGGAGCAGAGACGCGGAGATAGAACGCTCGAGTAACTCGAACGAGGCGTTGCTCGAGACGTCGGTCCGCGCTAAGTCGAATCACCCATCGGATGCATCGGGCTGCATCGGCGGATGCATCGGGTTACATCGGGGCATCCGAGCGGCGTCGACGGCCCCGAGTGCTACTTACGGTATTGGCTTTTGTCGTCGCGACAATAGCGACGATGCGTCCGCGACTGCAAAGAGATCCGTGAATAATGCAGAAATATAGGAACAATGCGGAAGAACGTAAGGGAAGAATGTAACGAAAGCGGAGCCCGGACCGATCGATGCTGCAACGGAGTCGACGTGGCAGTCGCGGGAGGGCGCGACGAATTTCATATTTCAGGAATTCCTGCTCTCTCTCCGGAACTTCTCTATCGAAATGGCGGATTAATAAAGAGACCAGAAGTCGGTTTTTCTGCCGACCCGACTGCGAAGGGACCCTCGTCCTCTCTATCTCCATTTATATATTCTCTATATCTCTCTACGCGCAGGAAAATATCTGGTCGAATCGATAAAACCTTTCCTTGGTTCAGCCATGGAATATTCGGGCGCCTCTCGTCGGTACAAACGTTTACTCGAGCGAGTCGCACTTCCCAAATGAGATGCGACGAGCGGGCAACAACGATACCGCGGAGCACGCATTTATAGACTTTCATTGAGCACGCGTCTGCAGGCCGGTCGGTAAATGGCGGCATGCAACGGGCACGCGATAGGCATTAGATCCCCATCTCCGATCGGAAGCTGCAATTGACACCTCGATCTCGTCCACGAGCTACATTCCGCGTGATCGGAGCTTGGACCGGCGACGTCGCTCCGCGGAATCGGCCATTCCGCGCGTCACGTTGGTTAACCTCTCCTTGTCGGGATCAGGGGTCGCCATGAGGAATCTCGTTGTTATCACGTAGCGCGCGCGCGATCGCTAGAAAGCATCGCTGCCACGTAGAACGACGACGTAATAAAACGTACGTGCCGAAATACAATAACGAGCCATCGAACCGGGCCCTACGTTTTTAGAGGCGGGGCGTTTCATATTTTTAGCGAACGAGGGGTCGTCACGACTCGCAATGTTTGCCGATCAAACGATACCCCACGTTCCCCCTAGGTGATGTTCGCGCAAACCGTAAATTTCTGCCAGCTCCCGGCAGCTGCACTCCAGATCCCGTTTCAAACGTTCAGGTGTAAGCGCGTAATTCAAGACGTAGGAGCGGATTTCGCGTACGTGTAAATTCGCACGTCCGACACGGAACTCGTAACCGGAGACTGCGGAGACATCGAATTTCTTGAAAATACCCTGAGTCGTTTTGGAACCATTCGTGGGAGTATATTCGGAAGGGAGGCGAAAGTTTTACGAAGCCCCTAGGTCGGATTTTTGAGAACCCTGCAGGGACGATCGAGGGACGACGAATGGCGCCTAAAAGGGCCGAGCGAGTAGATCGACGCTTTCGGAACCACCCTTAAGTCGGGTTTATTAAAAGATACGCCGGTATCTGGATAGTCGTTAGAAAGTGGGTGAAGGCTCCCCTTAATTCGCGCAGCTATCGACTCCCGTGGCGTCATTCGGCGCGTAAATCACCCCCCGCGTTGGCCGAACGTCAGGGAATTATGCGAAGGACGACTCGCGCGAAAAGAGCACCGTTGGCTGGTTGGAGGAAACGACTCTGGACTCGTCGTCGTCTCGAGTCGAAATCGCTAAATTGGAGACGATTTCGACGGAGGGCGGGAGGCATTCGACGCGATCGACGAAACCACCCGTCTCGAAAGTCTCGAAATTACCGAGCGTTGACTCCGAAGTCCTCGCTCGAATTTGCCAGTGTTTCCCTCGGAATGAAAATACGAAGTCGAGGGCGACTCGCGCGACGCTGCGACTGATCGATTCTA